GGTAAGGCAGTGGTAGGGGGAAAGGGAGTGATGCAGTGAGAGATTGGAAAAGGATAGCGAAAACAAATTCACAGAAGCCTTTAAGCTGGTAAGATAAAGATAATGTTAAAAGTATTCTTTCATCCAGCAGATGTTTATTGAGCTTTTACTTTGTATGGACCTGTGATCATAAGCACTGTGGGGCTACAGAAAAAGTCTTGTGTCAGGGAGATAAAAACTTATGATACAGGATTGAATATAAATTCCTTAAGAAAGGTACCAAGTATTTATCGTAGTTCAAAGGAGACAATCCTTCCAGCTAGGGGACAGAGCTATATTTATATACAATGTTTAAGAAGCCAGAGTATATAGAACAATTTAGAAAGAGTTCTGTTTTTTTAATGCTTGTAACTTAACTGTTTTTGTGCTTGCTTCGAATGCCTTATTCCTTAACAGTGCTGAAAGAAACACTGAGATTTTACTATGATGCTAGTTATGTTCACAACTCTTGAAGAAAAAAAATTACTGATCGAAATTCTTCTGGGAAACTTAAGTTATTTCCTGAGTATAAATAAGCCATATTGTTAGTGTATTTATGGATTCTTTAGAGAGTAAATTTGACTCTAAAGGTTCATTAACTGGCAAATGGATATTTTTAACCTACTTACCTTGTGTGGAGTTTCTGAGAAGAAAGGTTTTGTTCACAGCAAATTTTTAAATTGGGCCTACTTGTGTGCCCTTTCATCTATATGCCAGAAAAGGCAGCCAGGAGTTACTAAAATTTTGTGGCAAGAACCCAAGTCAGGTAGGCCAGTAATTTCTTGGATCCTTGGTTCTACAGTTTTTTAAATTAAGGGGAAAAAATACTAACTCATTTGCAATAAAAACATAGCCAGCTACTACCACCATCAGATTGTTAAGTTGATACACTGCCAAAGAGTATTATTGATTAGCATTTCTATAATGGGTTAAAATCCTACTACACACAATAGTGTTAAATGTAGACTATCTGGAATTTATTTTATCTCATTTTCAAGTTACTTAGATTTATATCACAGAAATGTCACTAATATATATATGTACTATGTACTCTTGTCCGCCCTTTAATGAATGATTCAGGATGTTACACATTACTCAGAAAATGCTCTCAGCTATGTGCCCTAATGAAGAGAAGAACAGAAATAATCTTCAACTCTGGGGTTTTATGGTGTTACATAACCATTCTCTTTGAAGAAGTGTTAGAGCTGGACTTGATTATGTATGTCAAGTAACACAATACTTTGCTGTCAGAGAAGAGAAAACAAAGCCTCAGAGTATGTAAATGGCATGCCCGAGATCACACAACCAAATAGCTATAAGCTAGCTGGTGGCCACATTGGTACCTAGCTCTCCTAGTCCATACTGTTCTTTCTGCTGTAGCTCACTGTCCTCTATACTTATTTATGGGTGTTAGTTCTAGCTATTTGTCAATTTTGAAACATCTTTTCAGAAACATCTTTTAATATCAGTTTTTAAGTTTAAGAAACAATATAACAAAATTATTTGGAAGAAAAGTTACCTGCTATATAATCCATTCGTAATAATTAGGATCATCCGTAGAAGGATACATGGCCTGAAACAAATAGCACTGTGTTCTTCTTCCTCAGTTTTTATACCAATGACATGAGACAAAAAAGCATATCACAGAAATGAGCAACATTTAGGCTGGAATGTAAAAGTGAAATGTCAACTCACTCTCCTGGGCATAGGTTTGGCAAATGAGTTTTTTACTCTCTTCTCCTCTAAAATCTAGATTTAACCTTGCTGGGGTTTTTAGCATTGTCCCAGAATTGCTAGTAAATAATCTTCTGGTAGGTTTGCTCTTAGTTTTTGTTTTTAAAGTATCAGCTGCCAAGCCTACATCTTTCTTCCTGTTAGCTCCCCGTCCTAATCAAGCATCATGATGGTGCCGTCCCCCAAAACCGTGGACATAGGACTCAGATTTTACATACCCTGTGGATGGTTCTAATAACAACTAGAACATTACAGCGATAGACTAGGTAGATGCCTACTGGGAATTTTTTTAAAATTGTAAACTAATGTTAAGTGTCTTAATAAAACTTCAGCCACTTTAATTATCCTGATTATTATACGTTTAATCACATAAAGACAAGCAATACTATCCTTAAAAGATAGTAGAGTAACTTCCTGAATTTGAACATACCACAACTTAACTTGAAACTGTTTCTTAGTATACAGTATATTACAGCAATAATTTAAAACATTTTTCAAGATGAGATTTTGGGTTAAATTCATGTTAAAATTCAAATAATATAGTATGATTTTATAGCTGCTTCAAGCCCTTGCAGTGTTTGATATGATGTGGCATAATAGAAACCTAAGTTTCCTGTAATCCGTGCTTCCTATTTTTAAAAAGGCTTTATTTTATTTACATATCTTCAGCTCTTCAATACCATTTTATGAAATACAAAACATAGCGTCAGGGCAGCTAGGTGGTGCAGTGGATAGAGCACCGCCCTGAAGTCAAGAGGACCTGAGTTCAAATCTGGCCTCAGACCAAACACTTGACACTTACTAGCTGTATGACCCTGGGCAAGTCACTTAACCTCAATTGCCTAAAAATAAAAAAAGTTTAAAAAAAAACACATTGTCTAGGTCTGATACTCATTAAAATTGAATAAATGGGGGCAGCTAGGTGGCGCAGTGGATAGAGCACCAGCCCTGAAGTCAGAAGGACCTGAGTTCAAATCTGCCGTCAGACACAAAACACTTACTAGCTATGTGACCCTGGGCAAGTCACTTAACCACACTGCCTAACCAAATAAAAAAAATTGAATAAATGTATTATGATCCTTATAGTAACTGAAAATTAAAAATAATTTGCCACTTTTAATTTCTACCTGTCATTTTTTTGTGACTAGAACTTATTTTGATTATTCCAAAGGAAAGAAATATAATAACTATATGAACACAAAATAAGTCACCAGAACTTTTGTTTTAATAACTAATTTCAAATGATATGCTATATTAAATAAACTTAACGTATCTTGTAATTTGTAGATTAAAAATATCCATATAGCTTTAGGCCAGTTTAGCAATTAGACTAGCATTTTAAAACATTTCTATTGTGTGTTACAAGCAAAAAGAGAGAAGCAGTAATTAATCAGTAAGTAAATATTTATTAAGCACCTACTGTGTGCCAGAAACTCTGCTAAGTAAAAAAAATCATTTGTGATTTGCCACCATCCTGAAACATATAACCAAAGGTACTTGAATCATTTGAGAATATTTTTTTTCCCTTAAAGTTCAAGCTGTCAAGCTTCAGGCAAAAAATTCTTAGTGGGGAACGAGAGAAGAGAGCGAGCTATTAAAATTCATCTAGGTGGCACAGACTTGGAGTCAGGAAGACCTGAGTTCAAATTCAGACTTAGACATTTACTAGCTGTGTGACCCTGGGCAAGTCACTTAAGATCTGTTTGCCTCAGTTTCCTCATCTGCAAAAGTGGGATAATAATAACACATACCTTCCAGGGTTGGTGTGAGGATGAAATGAAATAGTTGTAAATTATTTAGCACAAAGGCTGATACATATATAAATGTGAACTACTAATAATATTAGTATTGTAATTGTTATAATGCTTCATTGCTTCCTAAACTGGCTTTTGTTTAACAGTGGCATATCATAGCGTGTGTGATTTATTGAAGACTTATTAACTCATAAAACGTGTAGACAAATGAGATCTTTTCTCCTGTCATCCCTAAAATACCATCAGCTTTAGACTGACAGCTTTCTTTCAATTCCTAATCTATATTTTCAAATTTCTCTTAACAAAATTTCCTGAATTCTTAACTTTTCTTTTTTCTTTTAGTCCTCATTCTGCTCAGGTTATCAAAACTATGCTTATGGTTAAGAATATGCTCTGAAAGTATTGGGTTATTTTAGTTATCATGTTTAGTACTTAATTTAAAAAATTTTATCTTCATAATTTTGCATACCTTTCTTCCCTATACAACACAGGTCCTTTGGCAGTTTATGGAAACATAGATTTAGAGCTGGAAAGAACCTGAGAGTCTGTCCAGTTGAACTCTTATTTTACTGATGAAGAAATGAGACACAGAGAGGTTAAATGACATATTCATTGTCACACAGCTAGTTAGGTGTTTGAGGCAGGATTGGAGTTGCAAAAAGCTATTGTTACATAAAATTTTCCTTTTTTCCTCGCTGACAAAAAGCTTGGTGGTTTGTTGTTGTTGTTGTGTTTTTGGTTTGTTTTTTTTTAAAGAAAACAGTCATCTTTTCCTCAGCATCTCTTTGGGGAAGACTAGGTTATTATTTTCTGGACTTTTTTTCTGGGCAAACTCTAATTGTCCCTTTTAGTAAAAACAAGTTATTACTGAAATATTTATCATTGAAATCTAGGTGTCTAATTTACAAGACTGCTAAATTAGACTTCAGGGCCTATGTTACATTTTATTACAGTCTACAACATAAGTGTAACTGGCAAGAATTAACGAAATAAAAGCCAGTTACACAGCTGCTACACATCTGGGATTTTGGTAAAAAGGGGGGTAGTTTAGCTTTGGCTTCATTGTGATAAAAAGCAGGGTCTAGGAACTTTTTCAACTGAAGTCTTGTGCTGTGATCAGAGCTCTATTTAATACTGGCCTATAAGTCCATTTATACATCCTAAGGCCATTGCTAACTTTTACATTTTGCCATGTGAAAAATGATTATGTCAACTGCGGATTTTTAAAAATAGTTTTTTAGCAAACTGGAAGAGAGGTGATGATTAAAGTAAACATTTCTACAACTTTCTTTGTCCCAATTTTGCCCTTGTCATGTGTCCCAGCTAGCCTTGCAATACCATGCCACTTTTACCATACATTCATCAGGAAGTTTATCTTCAGACCAAGTGGTTTTTGAATACTTTATGTCAATTAGTTAAACCTCTGGAAGAGGCATGTACCTTTTCATTTATTTTCCTTATTATATTGTCCTGCTCCTTTTCTGAATTTCACAGGCTCGCAGATGGGTCAAGGGCTGTGGAGAGTGGCTAGAAACCAGCAACTGCAACAGGAAGGCTATAGTGAGCAAGGCTACCTAACAAGAGAACAGAGTAGGAGGATGGCTGCTAGCAACATTTCTAATGCAAACCATCGCAAACAAGCCCAAGGAGGCATTGACATATATCATCTTTTGAAAACAAGGAAATCTAAAGAACAGGAAGGATTCATTAATTTGGAAATGCTGCCTCCTGAACTAAGTTTTACCATTTTGTCATACCTGAATGCAACTGATCTTTGCCTGGCTTCATGTGTTTGGCAGGACCTTGCTAATGATGAGCTTCTCTGGCAAGGGTAAGTTTTTTGGGCTTGTCTGTTTGTTTTCGTTTTTGAGGTTTTAAAAAAGTTTAATTGATAACCTTTTGTGTTTTACATCACATGCATGTTTAAATATTACTTCCCTCCCCCACTAGGCCAGCCTTCTCTTGGCAAGCTTAAGTTAATGTAAACCTAACTGTACATGGTTTAAAAATAATTACATTTGCACCAGAATTTCAAAGTACTCTCTAAAGCAAAGATTCATGTGATAAAAATTTCTGTTTGACATTGGCAGAATGAGTTCATGTCCACATTTTATCTTATTTGTCTGAGATAAGCCACTAATAGGTGCAGTATCTGACATTTGAAAAAACAGTGATAGTACAAAAGAAGGGTGTTTTTTACTTAGAAATTAAAATAAAGGTTACTGATCAGGAAGAAGTAGGGTAACGTACCCTTTTACTTTGTAAATTTAATCTGTACTGAAAACAGTAAACTCTCAGTATAAGGTTCTCATTTAAGAGTATCTGAAATTATCATAGTTTTCTTTGATTTGTTTCCATTATGTTTATGGCATTTTCCACAAATGAGTCTGGGCGTTACTGAGCAAGTTTAAAACAAATAAACATAAAATGTCTCAGTAGTAGATAATCCAAAAAACATATTTTAGACTTTAGTTGCAAACATCATCTCTACCAGTCCTTTTATCAGAGCTGCTAGCACAGCAAAACTGACCAGCTGGAGTTTCATCTGCTTCCTATTTACCTCCGACCACCTACTGGTAAGTGCTAACGAGCAATGAAGTGACCACATATTATCTGGCAGAAACAGAGAAGGAAGAGGCCTGGATAACACAGCTCCTGAATATTTGAGAATTGAATGTAGTAGACCAATACTTAACATAGAAGTTAAGATGTAAACTGTAAACTAGGGAAAGTTGGATGAAATATACTGTAAATTAAACGTATTGTTGAAAAGAATGTTTAGCCACTTAGGCTACTGCAGAAACTGAAGACAGTACATCTGCACAGTCATCTTAGTTTTACAGTGACCATGTCAACGACTACATTTTTTTGAACACTAAAAATATGACCAAGTTTATAATTTTCACGCATTTTTCCTTCCTTCTAGATTTTGAAAATATTTTTCTTGAAAGCTTTTAGAATACATTATTTTTTAGATAAGTCATTTTATTAGAAATTTTGTTAACTTATGCCATGACTACTTGAGCTCTCTTATTATAGAAGTAGAGCATCAGCACAACATGTGTCTCCTAAATGTAAATGTAATCTCTCAGTAATATCTTCATGTTAATACCTTGTTTAGGGAAGGCATATAAGTTACATTCATTTTAAAATAGTGTAGGAGTGAATGAAAACTCTGGTTCTCAGTTAACTAAACAGAATTTTTAAAGCCATCAAAATAAATATCAAAAGTGAATAGTTTCATAATCAAATGTGGTTTTCTCATTAGATGTTACGAAATTTTAGATAACTTTAAAGTATTATTAAATCAAAAAAATTTGGAGTATATGTATATAAATGGAAATTAAAGTTAACTAATTCATTCTGATATTTTCTATTTTATGTTTTGATCTCAGCAAATGTAGAGAGTTTTCAATTCATAATAAAATTAAGGATGACTTAGTTATCTGAATTTTTATTTTAAACTTAGTTTCTAAATTCATAATGGCTTAATTAATACTTCTTAACCATTTGAGACTTAAACTTGAGTTTTGGTAACTTTTATTATCAAAGATAGTTTTGTTTCCATGTTTTCTCCCCAAGTATTGAATTGTATTCATTGTTAATTTGAGAGCTTATGTATTGTTTGATTATGGTTCTTGGAATATATATTTCATAAAATACTTGTGTTAACTCTTGTGCATATACTTATCCAGTAGAAAATAAGTTCCCCGAGTATAGGGACTGCCTTAATTTTTATTTTTTTAAACCATGTATGCTTTTATTAAGACCCTTAACAAAATGTCTGTTTAAATTTTGTGATTAATTTGAATAGTTATGCTTCAGTGCTTACAGAATGCATGTTTTCATAAGTTTGGGTATTCCATCTACTAATAACAGTCACAGCTCCTCCAACCTTAGTAACCATTATTCATGAGTAGCTATGATTGGACAAAAAAAAATCATCACTTGGTGATGCCCCTGGTAATGAGCCTCTCTACTATATACACTCACACATATCTTAGAACAGTAGGGCCTGTAATCAAAACCTTTCCAGCTCAGTACAACCTATTCACCTATGCTTGCTGATACAGTCTTGAGGAATTCATGGTCACTGTCTGTGTCACAGTGAGGCATCAGAAAAAAGAATTTTTCTGCTAGAGAATTTTCAGATATATTTATATATATTTTTTCCAGATATATTTATCATATATGTATGTAATAAATAGCTAACATTTATATGTTATATGCCCATTTATGTGAGCAGCTAGGTGGCACAGTAGAGTGCCAAGCTTGGAGTAAGGAAGACTCCTCTTATTGAGCCTCAGACACTTACTAGCTATGTAACTCCTGGGCAAGTCACTCAACCCTGTTTGCCTCAGTTTTCTCATCTATAAAATGAGCTGGAGAAGGAAATGGCAAACCGTTCCAATAACCCTGCCAAGAAATCTCCAAACTGGGTCACAGAGAGGCGGACATGAGTAAAAACAACTAACCAACATTTATACAGCACTTAAAGGTTTTACAAAATGTTTTACATACATTACTCATTTGAATAAAACTTTGTGTGTGTGTATGTATATATGTGTGTGTGTGTGTGTATATATAAAATAGAGAATCCATAAAACACTAGACAGTCAAAGTAGGGTAACATAATTGTGGTTTAGGAATCAAAAATTTTATTTTCAGGTTGTAAAAAAAGTAAAATTTTTAAAATATCAGAATATTCTACTTTTTATAAATTGTATTTAGAAGTTTATGCTAAAACTATCATATACTTTTATTCCTTTTTCCTCTGTACTTCAGTTATATGACAAGAGAGTTTAAGGTAGAAATAAGACATGAATCTAAGAGAAATTGTACTGAAGTATATGATCATTAGAAGCAATGTAATAAAACAGATTGTAGAATTTTATACAAATGGGTTCATAAATTAGTCCCTTTAAATAAAATGTGTCTCAGCAGCCACTGCCTTCATAGTGTTAGATATTATCCTGGTTGATCTCTATCATGTTGACCATATCCTAATTGTATATGTGGAAATTATTTCTTTGCTGTTAATAATTAAGGTCCTATTCTTTCCTACACAACTGGAAAACATTTCTCATGTTAAATATAAGATATTTTTGGCTTTAAAAAATAACAAAATATTCTAAGGAGCAACTACAGCTAATGTTGGCTTGAAGGTTTTTGGAAAACTTTTTTTTATGATTTTTTTACCTATATGGTAAAGATCTAAAAGGTTTTGAAAGATATATTAAAACAAATTCCTACAATTATACTCATTATTGTTCATTATATTATCTATTACTGAGAGAAAAGAGGATTCAAATCCTTACCTTGACAGTATTATCTGATTTTATTCAGTTTACACATTTATTGGATAGATTTTTATCTTGACCAAATTTAATAATGCAGCATTACTAAGCTCAAGACCTGTGTATAAACTTTTCTTGCAAAATACCAAAAAAATCCAAATTATAAAACTTTAAGCTTTTGAGAAACTAACATTATCAAAGTTAAATTTGTAACAAATTACAGCATTTTTTCTGTGTGCTTGATTTACTTTTATTTTTATAGGTTGTGTAAATCCACTTGGGGTCACTGTTCCATATACAATAAGAACCCACCTCTAGGATTTTCCTTTAGAAGATTGTATATGCAGCTGGATGAAGGCAGCCTCACCTTTAATGCCAACCCAGATGAGGTAAGTGAAGAACTTGAATTTTAGTAACAGTTGTAATTTTATTCCTTCTTTGCTGCTGCATGTATAAGCGTTGCAATATAATAAATTGCAGATAAAATTACAAATAATTGAAAATGACCTTTTTAAACATTGTGAAATCAAAATATGAAGTTTGCCTTCTAAACATGGTCAGTTTTTCTTCATGAATACAACACATATTCAACTTAGTTCACATATACTTTGTATGACAGTCTTAATATATCAGGTATGTAATATGCTAGCTTTTCAGATTGAAAAGTTACAATTAAGGAACATAAAATATTCCTGATGTGAACAAGAAGTATATTCATAAACTTCTATTGTTAATAAACTACTTTATTCTTATATAGCTTTGTAAGCTAATGAAAGAATTGCTTTATTTAGGAAGTACTAAAGGATTTATATTTTATCTCTTAACTGTCAAAATATTGCCATTAACTATATAACTGCATCTGTAAATTATACTAATGAATTCTAAGTGTCTTTTTTAAATAATAGTTTTATCATCTGGTTTTCTTTTTCTAAATAATGTGTAAAGAAAATCATCCAGATATAAAATATATACTCTAACTTTTCCCTATTTTTATTGGTCTAAAACTCCAAAGTTTGAAAGACAAGAGAGTAGATTCTAGACCTATAATTTCCATTAGATGTGCACAAATTATGCAACCCTGATATCTCTGCTTTCCATATCACAATGCCCTATCACATACCACAATCCTGTGGGGAAAATAATGACTTAATTGTTTACATTTTCTTCATTTTTTCACTAACCAAGACTAAAATCTTTTTTTTAAGATACTAAAGAATTATTTACCAAACATTTAGAGTGTCTTCTAAAGTTTTGTTAAGCTTATTAACTTTTCTAATTTTTTTTGTTTGTAACATGAAGTTGCACAATGTGATTTTTTTTTGTTATTCTATCAAAAGTAATCCATTCTACAAGCCTTCAAGAAAAAATGACATTTAAAAAATTAATAAGTGAAAATACTGATTAGAGAAACAAGCCAAGTAATACTTAAAATAGCATTCTGTTCAAAACAACAAATTTTTATTTTCCTTGAGGGTTTTTTTTTCATATGACGCACTTTCTTCTGCATATGTGACAAATATAGTAAAACTCCTTGATGACAATTAGTTATTATACAATTTGAGATGCTACTAGCTTCCTCTGGGTAGTGACACTATGTTGTTTTTCTGATATAACAACCTTTAAATTGGCTCATTAGTATTGGCCTTCCCCATTACTCATAGTGTAAGAGTTCTACTGTGAAGGTAAAAGAACTTAAGATTAAGAGTGTCATAATATATATAGTTTTTATACATTTGAAATCAATATGAATGCCTTTTAGAATCTTATGACGTATTGAGGCAAAATGATCAGTCTTTAAATGTGCATTGAAACTGTGACTTAAAACTCTGCTGAATTGCCAAAGGCTTTTTTACTTTTCCCTTCACCGTTTAAAACTTTTCTTTTGTTGCCTTTCACTGCACAACTTCGTTGTTTCTTCTTTGGTGTCAGGCAAGATTGTTTAAATTTTCAGGCAAGATTGTTTAAATTTCCTTTATAAACATATAAAAATAATAACTACATGATATCCAAAGCTAGCTAATGCTAACTAATGCTAATTCTGTTCTGTTATAATCTTGCACTGTGGTATAGCCACTATGTGCAAGGAGTATAAGAAATCATTTGTACTTAAGCTGCACTTTTTAAATCAAGGGCTACATGTCGTTAGTTACCATGCATATTTTCCACTAGTTCACTAATGATTGTTATTACAAATGAAAACTAATTTATATTTTCAGAGCTATGTAAAATCCACTATGTGTTTCAATCTTGTGCATCAGTTCCATGAAGTAGTTCAGTACTGTCATCATTACCTACATTTTAGTAAAGGAGAACTGAGGCAGAGATAGGTTCTGAACTTTATTTCAATTGTCTGACAGAAGATACAGCTCTCGAAGTCCCAATTTTGTGTTTATCACACCAGGTCATCATGGTTTATGTTTATGTTAAATAAAACTGTCATCCCCAAACCCTGCAACTTGTAAATCTTACAGACTAAGCAAATTTAACTTGGTGAGAGCTTGAATAGTAAACATTCAAAAGAGGAAAAGCTGATGTAGCAAATGATACTGATGTGGTAAGTGACTGTCACTTTGCTATTGGACACTCATTTTTTGAAGGAGTTATAAAAACCAGGTTATTCTCTGTCTTCCCTTGAGTATGGTATGTATGAGGGCTGGAATGGAAATCTGAAAGCCAGGGTTCAAGCTCTATGTCTTCACTTGCTATAGCTCTGACCTGTGAACTAGGGCAGTTTATTTAACCTTCTGAACCTCATTTTCCTAATCTGCAAAATAAGGATGATAATGCCTCCAGTACAGGGTTGTTTTAAAGAAAGCACTTTGAAAACCTTAAAGAACTATATAAATAGGAACTATTATTATTCCTCATAACTTGTACCGAGATTGGAGATCCTCATTAATCAAATTGCTATTGAAAGTCTTAGATAAAAATCTAATTCTTCCTGCATTTTACAATCTTATACACCTGGCATAATCCAGAATAGCACTTATTAGCACTTCAACTAGACCCTTTCAAGGGGAGAGACAAGTTAAATTTGAGTTTGTTTTACTTCTTGCTAATAGCTCTGATACAAAGTTTAGAAGAGAATTAAGTTTATTAACACAAGATTTTGGGAGAATATTTGGATTTCACTTCTCCATCCTGTCCGCCATTATTGTCGAGAGTTGGCTGTATTTTGATTTTCTCTACTTCCTCCCCTACATTTAAGTACTTCCCAGAGCATTCAAGAATGATTTTATCTCTATGGAATGGCATCATAACCTGATCTCTGGGTACTGGGCTAGACTATGTGACCACTCAAGACCTCTTTCAGTCTTAAATTCTCACTCTGTGGCTCTATGAACACCAGTAATTTAACAGGTACTGTACCAGATACCAAATCACATTGAGTCTAGTTAGTTTAGTAAGGGAAGCATCTTAGTCATTTCATCTCTATTACATTCCACTTTTTTTGGTTAATATGATTCATCCAAATTTGGTCATGTTTTAATCATATAAGTGAAGATTTCTCTTTATTAAAAATGTGTTAAATAATACATTACTCAAAACTAAACTATATATATATTTTTTTCATATGTTAATCTGGTCATTTGTAAGAATATCACCAAGTTCATTAAGAGCTGGAAACCAATATGTGCCTCTTGGAGACTAATATTTGCTCCCATTTAGGAAAATTCTTACCTAATAATTGCATCCATCTAAATCTGCGGACATAAAGTTAATACTCCATTGATGGCATTTATCGTGAGAGCTTTGGATAAAATGTCTAATAATATTCCACTTTTACAAAAGTCTGCTTCTCCAAACTTTCCAGTTATGTACTTTACATTTTGGTAGCAAACATGATTAAAATATAAAAATAAGAATACTTACGGCCACAGGGAACAAGATTCTCCAAAGGACACCGTTCATGTCTTGGAAATGGGTAACCAAACTCCGCAGCAACAGCTCCAGAGCTGGCGGTGGCTCACGGGGTGGGGGAGAGCATCTGCACACTCTGTGGTAGGAGTATCTAGCACGCTGTGTTTGTGCATGGCATTGTGAACTCACGTGCATGAGCTTGTGTACTTTGTGGCGGATGATCACATTCTAGTAAAGGAATGTGCTGACAACTGTATGTTTAGCCTGTATCCCCCATGCATGTAAAGACTGCTTTTGTCATGTTTATACCATTGGCAGTGTTATAATAGAGAAAAAGAATTTTATGTATCAACCCGTATGATTTACTCCTTATGCTTTATTCAGCATAGACAACATTTCCATGACACAGTCATTCTATAACCAATGGTATTAATAATGTACTGTCTGAAAATGGATAATGGACATGGTTTGATTTTAAATTTTGTTCCTTTTTTTGTAAAATAAGTTTTATCTTCTTTCCTAAGTTAATTTATGGAATGCACTTGAATGAGAACACATGAAAAAGGATCACTTAACTTAGAAGCTGATTATCTTATTTTCATGGTTTTTTTCCTTAATGTAACTATTATGTATTTTCTTCAGCTTGTCTTTCTTTGCAAATGGGCTCTCTACTATCTAAAATACATCGAATATTATGACGTAATTGTCCTCACATGGTTAGAATGGAAAAAGTAAGGCACTTATATTTCCACATGTTTCATTTTTATCATGGTAGCACATAGTGTTTAATTCAGATACAGAATTTTTCTGTCTTTTTGGCCCTAAATACAACCGCACAATGCTGAACCAATGCTTAGCATAGTGCCTGGCACACAATAGGCACTTAAGAAATGCTTATTGATTGAGATTTCTTTGCAAAATAACCTTATTGAAGAATTGCTTCTGCTTTCCTTAGAAGATGGATAAATAATTGCTACAGATTACTGTGTACAGGTTATATGTAATTGACCATACATGTGTGTTCATATTTTCAATACTTCAAAAGTTCGGTGAGTTCATAAATATTAATCCTTTCTTCACTCACATATATGTGAGTTTGTATATACAAACATATATGTGTTTGTATATCTCAGGACTTAAAAGTGAGAAAACTGTTTTTCCTCTCTCTCCAACTCCCCCTCCTTCTCTTCCTTTTTGAAGATTGTAAGTTCTTTCCAAAAGTCCATGAATTTGGTATTCTAACTCATTTGAACTAATTAGCCTTTATTTGCCTTCGTAACAGCTTAGCATTCAAGGCAGGTAGAATGCCTAACTATTAATCTAATTCATTACTGTATAGTTTTTACTTCATGTCTAAATAAGGAATTATTTGGGAAAAATAAGTATGAGTAAGATATGCCATAGTTCAAATTGGCTATAGTGGCAATATTGAGGTCAGAAAACTGCTCCTCAAGTTTGATCAATAACAGTATACCATCAGTTTCACATGAATTTAATGGCATTCATTGCTTGGACACCAAAACATCAT